TGCAGCATCAATCTCCGGATCACTCTTCAGGAGCTTGGAAGCTTCCCTGACAGAGTCCATCAGGGTTGCATAGTCCACCAGCTTCTCGAAATCTGGCGGTGACAAGCGCAGCTTGGTCCGAGCACTCGCCTTCAACCGGCGACCACCCTTCTCGAATTGGCGGATGTGCAAAGCCATGAGCATTTCTTGGCCTCGGGCCTTCACCACCAAGTGCGGCTTCACTGCCTCGGCCGTGTTCTTTCTCGTCGCCCCAAGCAGCCAGCGAGAGCTTTTCATCTGTTCGGTAGACAGTGCACTCTCCCGCCACTTGTAGAAGTTCAGGTGGATGGCCATGATGTCGCGGGTCTCCTGTCGGCCCCCTTCCAACCGACCCTGGTGAACCCCTATATGCGAGGCGACGTTTCTCTGACATCTTACAGTAACAGTGGCTTAAAGGCTTCAGGGCACTCAACTCCCGGACTCCTTGGTTGTTCCAGTCAATATGTTCAGGATGGATCTCTTTTTGTCGTCATCGAGTGAATGCTTGACATTGAGGTCACTGCCCTTGTTGAACTGCTCAATGGCAGCTTCCAAGCGAGCCTCGGTGCTGCCTGTCACGGTAGTCGCCTGCAATTCCATAACCCGCGAGAACCGCAATGCCATTTGCAGGATTGTCGGGGGCTGCCGCTCCATCCCTCTGAAGCTCAGGGCCATGTTCCTGAAGTTTTGCTTGATTTCGGACATGTCCAGAGCTACCTCAGGCACAACGTGTTAAGGGCAGAAGATGAGAGCCAAAAGCAAAGGCGTGTGCACCCTTTACTTTATCGAAGGCATGCCACATGCATGGGCAGCAGCCAGCAGTTCTGGATGACATTGACCATAGGACGGAGCTTATCCCAATCTGTGTCAATATCCACCTCCACGAGGCAGCACAGGATCCAAGCCACGCAGCTGGCTCGTGTCCATCCCTTCACGCAGCGGACTGCGCCGAAGGTCAGGTTCAGAGCTCCGCCTCCTCACTCAGACAAGAAAAAAAGGTGACAAGTGCTTGAAATTACATGACATGTCACGGGATGGAACCATGTTCAATGTCAAGGTGCCCGGGCATGCCGTTGCATAGTCGATCTCGGAACTTCAAGACCGTTAGCACTTCAAGGCAAATTTGCTTTCATCTGGATCTGCTCGACGAGTACATTCATTTCCAAGCAACACTGACGTCCAGCGGCTCCCTTCCCAGGTCGATGCCGGATCCCATCATACTAAGGAATGTCGTTGTCCAGGCGTCGATGCTCGGGTATCCGCCAACGGGCGGGGTCAGCCTGACGACAAAGAGTGAGAAATATGGTACATGCACATATCACAGAATCACGAACAATCTCGACTCGACTGGCACTAGTGCAATGTCCGCCTCAGGCACGCCAGTGGAAGTTTGATCGTGGTTCCGGCGGAGGAAGCATCGATCGTCTTGGCATTGGTTGAACGTGCAAAGCATGCTGTAGAGAACAAATGACAAGCTCTGTGCACACAGGGGAACGGGACTGAAAGCTGGGCCCGTGACAACATCTCCAATACTCTTGAAGTAGATCGGGTCCACACCGAGCTTCGTGGTGAACTGCTGGAACCAAGATTGCATGTGGCCGAGGAAAGAGGAGCTGTCCGGGCCCTCGAAGCGGTCCACGACACACTGGACTGGATGTGCACCGGAAAGATTCGTGTCTTGACCGAAGTTCAAAACATGCCTGATCATGTCCTCAGCGCAACATCTGGCCCGGCCCACTAGAAGAAGAAAATGCCTGTCTGGAACTGAAGTGTATGCCTATTCACTGCAGGTTTCGCGGCACAGCGACAGATCACCTGCAGGGAGCTGTTTCAGCTTCTTCTCCATGTCTGTCGCCATCTTCTTGCTCGCTCCAAACAAGTTTTTCTGCTCCGCATCCTCATCCTTCTTCGACTCTGAAGGTTCCGCTTTCGCGGTCTCGTCTTTCTTAAGCGAAAGAGCCGCTGCAGACAAGAACGAGTTCGCCATGATATGGCAACCGGAATGATTGCAAATCGTCTTGGGCCCGACTGGTCCATGAAAGCGCATGTCAGCATTCCCAGCAAAGTTCAGGCACATGCATACGGAGCTTCTGCAGAGAAAAACTCGGCTCACGACCAAAGAACGCACAAGTCGTGGGGCCACCTCAGTCCGAACTTGCACGCAATGTAATGCTTCATTGTGGGGATCGCAAATCAATGCACGTCACATTTCTGAAAAACAAAAATCA